AAAAAAAAAAAAAAAAAAAAAAAAAAGGCAACACAGTAGGTATTCCTTTGTGCTTGGTGTTTTTGGTTCAACATTCTGTTTGTGAGTTATTCGTGTAGTTGTATGTAGCTGTAGTTCGTTCTCTTTCATTGCTTTATAATATTCTATTGCATGAATACACATGATTTTATTACTGATAGACATTGGAGTGTTTCCAGGTTTTGGCTATAATGACTATGTTGCTTTGACCTTTCTTGTAAATATCTCTTTGTACACATGTAAATATATTTCTTATGAGTGGAATTGCTGAATTATAGGGTGTGCACTTGCTTAATTTTAGATATTCCCATATGGTTTTTAAGCATGATCTACCAGTTAATACTCCTGTTAGCAATGGTGTAGGAGTTCCAGGTGTTCACCTTCACCAGTTGTCAGTTATTTTCCTTTTAACCATTCTGGTAAATTCATAGTGGTATCTTCTCCATGATTTGAATCAAACTCTGGAAGCTTTGGGGATTATGTCATTTTGTAGGGACACCTTTTTTTAACCACTATTTACTTTACTTTCCTCATTTGTAAAATGGAGATGATATTAACCCTTACTTTTTAAGCTTTTTGAGAATTAAATGAATTCATATTTGTAAAGCATTTAAAGCAGTACTTGGGAGGTACTAAGCACTACATAAGTATTTATTGCTATTATTATCTGTTACTGCTGCTGCTGCTTTTGTTGTTCCTGTTTGTTACTTTTTGGGCTCTGAAATTTTATAATGATTTGTTTGGGCAAAGGTATTTTTGACAGTTGTTTTGGACACTATGGGTCATTCATTTTGAAGACTCATGTTCTTCAGTTCTGGGAAATTCTCATAAATTATTTTTTTTTTGATAATTCTCTCCCTTCTTTCTTGAGCTTATCAGACAAATATTAGATCTTTCAGCTCCATCTTGAGCATCTCTTTGTCATTTTGTTTTACAGTTTTGAAGATTGTCTTGCTTTATGAGTAACACTTCTATTAAATTTCATTTGTTCTGTTAAGCATTTAGTATCTTAAATTTCAGTTTACTCTTTTTTCCCCCACTGTTCCCTGAATTATTTCCATTCTCCTAGGGTCAGTCTTTTCTCCTCTTCACTTTGGTCCTTTTTCTGTCATAGGTGTTCCTTATATGTCTATTTGATCCTGGTGTATTTATTCTAAGAATAAGGCAGAAGAGAAAGCTGCATGTGAGCTTTCTATACATTTGGTCCACTATAGGGTACATGGTAGGATTCTGGCCAGTACTCTGGGATCCTTAAATGTCACAATGTGGAGGAATTTGCATTATAGTGTTGACTTCTACACTAGTTGCTCAGATAGTTTATTCCATTTCTTTGGAGAAATATTCCTTCTTTTGTTGCCTGGTAGTAAATGTTTTGGCTGCCAGATAATCTTTGCAAAGGAGTGAGGTGGGATTTGACATCTCCATCTAGGAGTTTTCAGTGAATCCTCTTGTTTTCTCTTCAACATACTCAAGCCTCCAACCTGCTTGTTTCCAGAATTCTCTGGGGCTTGCACGGTGGATTGGCTCCTTGCTAGCCTGAGCTTCCTCTGTGCATTCACTAAGCTGTGGCTTCTTCTAGTTTATTTTATTTGTTGCCACTTCTCTGTCCTCTTTCCATCTTCTAGAAATGTGTTGAAATCTTCATCTCTTGTAATGCATCTTCCTGTTCTCTTTATGGCTGTGAATTTATACTTTAAAAAATTCCCTATCATTTTAAGGGGGTCTCAGGAAGGAGAGGAGGTAAACTTGAGTACTCAGCTCACCGTTTTCAACTGAAAATCTAGTTGTGATATTGTTTTCATATAACAGTGTTATTAGTTTCTAATCAAGCACATATATTAATTTATATTATTGATGCATATTATAGAGGAAAAATAGTGATATCAGTAAGTTTGGTGTTTTTTTTTAACTTTTGGAGCATTGATTTTGGTATGTGTTATAGTAATATTGTGAAATAGCCTAGCAGAAAACAAAGCTATGTGTTAACTATTTAGAGCTCTTTTAAACCTAAACAAATCAGTTGCTCTGTTTAGTAGTAGATTTAATATATTTGAAGCCACTATATATAATTTCAAATTGGTTTATCAATTCAATACTTTCAGCTTTTATTTAGAAATCGTTTTCATTATAATATATCATTACAAAATCACATAAGAAAAATGTTCTATAAAATGCAAAATCTATCTCTTTTAATTACTGAGATAATTCCTTGACACAGGAACATATATAATTCTGTGAGTCTTGGCTTTGCCTTGTGGGGTGTTCTTGGAGTATCTTACGACTGGGACCTGCTGGGGTCCCTGGCGTTTTGCTTAGCTATAAATTATAAGCAGATGGAACTTTACCACTCCTTGCCATTTTTTTGTTTTTTACTTGGCAAGTGTTTTAAGAAAGGCCTCAGAGGAAAGGGGTGAGTGTCTTCTAAACAACAGAATTCAAAAAATTACTTCAGATAATTTATTTGGCATACTTACCTTTGCCTTTTGGTGATTTCTTATTAATGTGTTGGTGGCTATGGAGTAAATGGAAAGAGAGATCAAGTCATGTTCTATATTATTGTATTTTAAATCTTCCTAACTGGAGAAATATTTTGATCGATGTATATTTACTGGAGGTAATGTGAATTGGCTTGTTAGAACATTGCTGTAGGATTTCATCCCTTTAGAGCATATTACATTATATACTTATTAGAAATACATCCCAACTTGACATTTTTCTTCATAGCTGCATAGGAGTGGCATCTAAGTTAAATGTTAAGAAGGATGGTGATAGTCTTCTTGCTGGGGAATTGCACATCTTAATAGTTGTGAATTTCTTAACTCTGATTTAAGTAGACTCTCATCTTAAACCCGTACTGGTGGCATAGATTTATCATTACTATACATTTGCATTTATTATATTTATAGTAATGAGACGCAGATTGATTTCTCAGAATTACTAACCTCTCCCTATCTTACCAGTTCCCTTTGTTTTTGTTCTAGGTTTGTGTTGTTGATTAAACTGGCTTGTACTGTTGTGGCTTCCTTCATTCTCTGCTGGCTGCCATTCTTTACAGAAAGGGAAGAAACCCTGCAGGTTCTAAGAAGACTCTTTCCAGTTGATCGTGGATTATTTGAGGCATGTTTAAAAACTCTTTTCTGGCTCCTTTCTGTTACAGTACCTTCCCTGTGACCTTTGGGGATTTCATGTAGAAGCGCTTCAGCTGCTCTCCTCCTGCAGTCATTCCTTGCCAGTTATTTAATCTGGTACATAAGCTATAGCTCATCTGGCATTTTCCAGTACATTGTACAAACAGGTAACATGTATGCCATGATGAGATCCATAATTCAGTTATACATTTTTCTAATGAAATAGGGTTCGTAATGAAAGACAGCATGAGAAGTTGCAGCTACAAAGGTAACAGCTTTGTGGGGTTTTTTTGGTTTATATTCTCTTTTTAGTCCTAGGAAATTATTTATTAAACTAATAATCATGTTTGCTTCAGAAAGATCTCATAATTCCTTATGAGGTATATAGCTTTCATCCATAGTAATTTTTAATGAGAATCATTCATTTCATTTCATTTAATGCCAGCTTAATCACTCTTGTTAAATTTTTATTGCATGGATAATTTGATTTAGAGTTAGTAATTAAATTAAACAAACCATTTTTCTGAAACAAAAAGGTCTTTTAATAAAGTTAGACAGAGACAACATATTTATAGATAATTTGCTTTTGAATAAATATTTCTTTTAAAAAGAATTAGAAAAGCATATATATCTTTCTAGTTTTTGAGTATATGAAATGCTATAGAGTATCTTTCAGTGGATCTGTGGGAGGATGGAACCAGCATTTTGAAAGAGGCTAAGAAAGAATTTGGTGTTGTAAAGGAACAGAAATGTGTGTCCTGTATGTCAATGGGGATGATGATAGTGATAGTACTGATAATCATAAATAATCACTATTGCTGTCACCACCACTTTCTTACTAGGTACCAGGCACTTCACATGTAATTTTATTTGATCCTTAACCATAGTGCTGAAGTAGCTGTTATACCCACTTTACAGATCAGAAAACTGAGGTCAGAGATTCATATAGCTTTTGCATGGCAGAGCTGTAATTTGAACTTTGAGCATTGTGCTCCTAACTTCTTTATATATCCTTTAACCTTAATACCTATATAAAGAAGAGTTTAGTTCTCCATGTAAGCTGCCTGGTTATTTGCCTTGCCTTCTATTGGGTTGGCCAAAAAGTTTGTTCGGGGTTTTCCATACTATTTTACAGAAAACCCAAACGAACTTTTTGGCTAACCTAGTATTTCAGAAATGGTATTTATCATGATAATTATAAAAATGAGTGTCATACACTTTTGATGGTGCTGTTGGTTACCTTCACTCACTTGTTGCCCTCAAAATCTGAAGAGCAATTTCATTGGCCCGACAGAGGGAAGTAGGATGGTACAGTTGCCGGTGATAGTTACTTTCTTTTTATTTATTTATTTATTTTTAATTGGAGTATAATTGCTTTACAATGTTGTGTTAGTTTCTGTTGTACAATGAAGTGAATCAGCTATACATATACCTATATCCCCTCCCTCTTGTACCTCTTTCCCACTCTCCCCACAATCCCACCCATGTGGGTCATCACAGAGCACTGAGCTGAGCTTCCTGTGCTTTATAGCATATTCCCACTGGCTATCTGTTTTACACATGGTAGTGTATATGTCAATCCTAATCTCCCAATTTGCCCCACCCTCCCCTTCCCCTCTGTGTCCACATGTCCGTTCTCTATGTCTGTGTCTCTATTCCTGCCCTGCAAATAGTTTCATCTGTACCATTTTTCTAGATTCCACATATATGTGTTAATGTGCAGTATTTGTTTTTCTTTCTGGCTTACTTCACTCTGTATGACAGACTCTAGGTCCATCCACATCTTTACAAATGATGCAATTTCATTCCTTTTTATAGCTGAGTAATATTCCATTGTATATATTTATCTTCTTTATCCATTCATCAGTCATTGGATATTTAGGTCGTTTCCATGTCCTGGATACTGTAAATAGTGCTGCAATGAACATTGGGGTAGATGTGTTCTTTTGAATTATGGTCTTCTCTGGGTATATGCCCAGTAGTGGGATTGCTGGGTCTTATGGTAGTTCTACTTTTAGTTTTATAAGGAACCTCCATACTGTTCTCCACAGTGGCTGTATCAATTTACATTCCCAACAATAGTGCAAGAGGTTTCCCTTTTCTCCACACCCTCTCTAGCATTTACTGTTTTTAGGTTTTATGATGATGGCCATTCTGACTGGTGTGAGGTGATAACCTCATTGTAGTTTTTATTTGGATTTCTGTAATAATTAGTGATGTTGAGCATCTTTTCATGTGTCTCTTGGCCATCTGTATGTCTTTGGTGAAACGTCTATTTAGGTCTTCTGCCTATTTTTTAATTGGGTTGTTTGTTTTTTTGATATTGAGCTCCATGAGCTGTTTGTATATTTTGGAGATTAGCTAATAGATTACTCTGATTTCAGGTGTGTGGTAAAATGGGTCAAACAATATGTGTTCTACATTAGACAAAGTAAAGATTTTTTAGAAAGTAATTTCCAAAGATGAATAACTTCAGTATTTAGGAATAATGTGCTGCTCTTCGAAAAATATTATTTCTTGGGTGCATCTAAATTATGGTTGGCTAGATCACCTCCTATTGCGAAAAATGTGTGTGTATGTGTTCCTTAGAGAGTTTAATCAACTTAGTTATGAAATTGTGAACAAGCGCTTCTCATGACCCAAAAGTTTATCTATTTAGAGATTATGGGCTGTACTTCATGGAGTTTAATATTTCTTTCAATTATACTAGAATGTAAAACTAACAAATTTCTTTTAAGGATAAAGTAGCCAATATTTGGTGCACCTTCAGTGTCTTTCTGAAGATCAGGGATATTTTGCCACATCACATCCAGATAATGATCAGGTAAGAGACACCAAGTTTGTATATAGTGTTTTATAAGCTACTCTAAAAGTGTCATGGCAATACCTCATTTATCTGGCATTATAGGGAGTAAGGTAGTCTTCATTAGTGAATATTCCACATAATGTAAACTCATTGCTCTGTATAACAGAACTCTTTTATTTGAAACATTTTATGTGAAAGTTATTGTTACCTACTTCCGTCTTCCTTAAACAATATATTAAACATGATTTAATATAACCTTGAAGAGTCATAATTTTCAGCAGTGTATCAGTCACGGTCGACCAGAGAAGGAGAATGAGTAGGAGATCACTCTGTGTGTGTATGTGTGTGTGAATTTATTATGAGGAATTGGCTTATACAATTGTGGGGGACTGGCTAAGCAAACTGAATGCCAGTCCATAAGACAGACATTCAGGAGGGCCTATCTAGAGGGAAGGAAGAGCTGTACTGACCCCACTGCTGTTTGGAGTCTGATCTCAGGGAAGGCCTAAGCCTTCTTTTAAAGGGCTTCCAAGTGATTCAGGCCCCACCCGAGGCCGCACCCTTTTGATTAACTTAAAATCAATTGAATAGGGACTTTAATTACATCTGCAGATCTCTTCACAGCAGCACCAACATTAGTGTTTGAATAACTGGGAAGTGTGTGTGTGTGTGCTGCCTTTCTCTTTCCTCCAGTTCTTTTGGTTGGAGAGTATCCTTTGTAGCCCACCATAACAGGAAGCAGACTAGTCGAGCTGAAGCCACAAAGCCACCTCACGTGAGAAAATTAGTTATTGCTTTGCATTATAATACTTGTTTTCAGGGCTTTCAAAGACCGTTTGCCTTGGTACTAAGTGGCTCCAGACTCCTCTGCTTGTTGAGTTCTTTTTTCCTCCTTGCCCATCAACCATCACAAGGAGAAGCTCTAGCAGCTTCCCACTCCCCTTCTAGCTTATTCTTTCTGATTTATCATGGGTTGAAAATCAGATAATCAACTTTTGTGAAACTGAGGGCCAAAGAGGTTCTCTTGTGAGTAACTTTTATGAATGTTTGTGTTACAAATATAGCATTGTCTCTTTATACCTGGTTATGTTTTCTTGTTTGTTTGATAATTGACTTTTAGCTATCTTTGTATCTTTTCCATAATTGATACTAAATACTAAAAAGACATAAGCAATATTTAGTTCTATAATATTTTGTTCTATTTTATATAATTATGTATATATTAAAGTGTGTACATATTTCAGTGTATGGATTTTATTAAAATGTTATTTGGTCTTGAATTTGTTATTTAATACATAAAAAACTTTAATTCGAAATCAACTTAAGTTGATAAGTAATGTGATCCTTACATTAAAAAATTGTTTCTTTGTTTTAGCTATATACTTTTATAAAGAAAACAAATGTCTAATTTTTATTAATTTTTTAGCTTTTGTTTTACATTTTTGAGCCTGCTTCCTGCATGTATAAAATTGACACTTCACCCCTCTCCCAAAGGATTCAAATTTACTCTGGTAAGTTTCTCATTACTTTAGATACTTAATTCTTGCTGCAATTGATATTTTAAAAATACAGATAATTATTTTCCTGCTTTGAACAGGATTTATTGGATTGAGACATAAGACATTCATTTATTTGGCAAACACTTACTGTGTGTCTGACATACTTAGGTGCTGTTTTGCACTAGGCTGAGCAATCAGAATCTTTCAGTTTAATTCAACAACTATTTAATTTCTTTGTGGTGGTCAGTGAGGGAATACAAAGAAGAAAACAGTGGTGATAGACATGTTTAAATTATTATGCTATAAAGCAGACGGTTCTGTCAGGTACAATGGAGTGCTGTGATAGTGTGGGAAAAGGATATATTACTTTGAGGGCAGATTTTAGACTATTTCTTAAAGCAAGTGGGATCAGAGCCAAATTTTGAAAGCTGGGCAAGATTTGGAATAGGTGGTTATATAACAGGAGAGTTTGAGACAGGAGGAAGAGCTTGAAGGTACAGATGTGGGAAGGGATAGGGAATGATCTGGGAACAGCTATTAACCAATGAAATTTGTGTAACTTTTATGTGGGTATGTGTGTGTTGAGGTTAGGAGAGGATATAGTGAGAGAGAAGAGTCAGAAAGAATCAAATTATGTAAGAGCTTGGATGCTGGGCTGAAAAATTTGGAGTCTGATTTGTGTGCAAGAGGAGCAAAAAAGATTTTGGAGAAGGAGAGGGAACAGATCTCTGTTTTAGGAACATGACATGTATCAGTTGGAACATGGATTGGGTATATATTTTATATTTTAGGGTTTCTCTGCGTGGGTTTACAGATTCCTCCTGGTTGTATTTCTGTGGTATTTAAAATTTGTTCCTGTGTACCTTGGTCTATAAAATGACATTTAAAGAATATCCTTTTAAAATATCAAGAAGAGTTAGTTTATGAAAACAGTCAGTGGACTTATAAAGGGACAACCTTTTATTTTTTATTATTTAAAGAAAATTTTTGGCCGTGCCACGCAGCTTGCGAGATCTTAGTTCCCTCACCAGGGATTGAACCCAGGCCCTCAGCAGTGAATGTACGGAGTCCTAACCACCGGACTGCCAGGAAATTCCCTAAAGGGACAACATTTTAGAAATTGGGGTTTCAATTCTGGGACTGCCACTTATTTATACTGCATTCTAAAAACAAGCCAGAGGGCTTCCCTGGTGGCGCAGTGGTTGAGAGTCCGCCTGCCGATGCAGGGGACACGGGTTCGTGCCCTGGTCCGGGAAGATCCCACATGCCGCAGAGCGGCTGGGCCCGTGAGCCATGGCCACTGAGCCTGCACATCCGGAGCCTGTGCTCCGTAACGGTAGAGGCCACAACAGTGAGAGGCCCGCATACCACAAAAATAAAAAAATAAATAAAAACAAGCCAGAACAGAGCATGTCAGTCAAATATTTCAAAAGTGCTTATCGGTTCCACAGTGCAAAAAGATTCATGTTCCTCTTTTTTAAAGTTACCTTTTTATTGATGATGTCTGTTTTTCCATTCTGTTAATGAGCTCTGAGCATAGTAAGTCATCTATAGTTAATATTCTATAGAATGTTTAGAATAGGAGGGATGTGGTTAGTAATATTCTGATGTCTTCAGTAGCCCTAACTTGAAATATTTGCAAGCTTATGTAAAATGGTTATTTATCATGCTAAATAAAGGTATATTTCAAAGATGATGGAATGGAATTTCAGAGTTTCGGTAACTAGCAGTGTTAGAGATGATTACTTTTAGGATTATAAAGCAGAAAAAGCATTTTCTTTCTCTTAATTTCCTAGTTTTATTTAGTTTGTTGTGTTTTAATACCAAACATTGTGTTTAAAAAATAAAAAAGACATATTAATGACTTATTTTATTTTTGCTGATAATGTTTTAAATTCTTATTGAATACTTCTGAGAGCTTTAAAACATTTCCCATTATAATTATTTTAAAGTGTTTTTTTCCTTTCAATTTAGATTGAATTATTTCTTAATATAGGTCTGTAATTAAGGGAATTGATAGTATGAATACTAATATATCTATAGCAGCAAAGTTACTTTTTTCTATATCTTTTCAAGTAGTATTTATTAAGTGCCCTCTAATGTGTCAGGTCCTCTTCTAGGAATTGGCGTATAAATGAATGGCAGCTAATATCCCTGCTCTCTTAATTGGGGGACATTCATGCTAGTGACAGGAGAAGAACAATAAACAAACCAAATCAGTTAACAGGAAGATATCTGGGGGTGATGAGGACTATGAAGAAAATAGTATTATGTGAAGAGAGGGCTGGTGGGGTTTGGTTAGGGGGGTACTACTTGAGATTGAGTAAGGGAAGAGGCCTCTCTAGGGAAGTGACATTTCATCCTGGAACTGATTGATTGATTGATCAGAAGGAACCAATTACAAGAAGATCTGGGCTCTGACTTGACAAAAGCAAGTTTTTTCTCCAGGCAGGAACACATTTGGCATGTTCAAAGCATTAAAGGGACAAATATGAAGGGGCTGGTGTGAAATGAGTGAGGGAGACAGTAAGAAAGACTGGAAGAGGAAGGCAGGACCCAGATTATGTAGGAGTTTGGATTTTATTCTAAGTGTAATGGGAAGCTATTGGAGGATTCTAAACAGAGAAATTACATGATCTGATATGGTGGCTAAATGGAGAATGGATTGTCGGGGGCAGGAGCATTACCAGTTGGGAGGTTATTGCAGTGGCCCAGCAGAAAGATGGGCGTGGCTTAGACCACTCCTCTGCCACCATCAGCAGAGGGGAGTGGAGAGAAGTCAGTGGATTTTGGGAGATGGTGTAGATAGGATTTGCTGATGGATTGGATGTATAGCATGTACAAGATGGTGATCCAGGTTTTTTGCTTGAGCAACTAGATTGGATGTATATAGATAAATGTCTAATATGCAGAATATAAACTCCTGAAAATAGATCTAAGTAATTATTAATTTAAAATCCCAAATAGCAAATGATTACTTTATAGAACATTGAATATATTTTATTGAAGTGCACGTTTTAAAAACACTAAAATGGATTTACTTTGCCAGTTTTAGATTTTGACTTACTTGTCCTTCATGCTTTTTAATTTAAATTGTCAGAGATTCCAAGGGAGGATGAAGGTATGATTGTTGTGTCTGGATTATTTAGTAGTTTTGTTATTAATAACTGAGACTCAATGAACTTGTTGTAGATGCTTAGGTATAGCTTTATAATAATTATTTTTCAAAATATTTTGATTATTAAATTTGAATAAAATATTACGCACATTAGAGTTGTGTATATATTTTCCTTCTAGCTACAAGCTATATTAAACTTTAAAATTTTACTTGAAATGATTTTTAGTCAGATTCATAATTAAATTGATATTTTATAAGTTGTTTTATCTGATTTTGTCCCCTTTTTCCTTAAGGTTAGCTGTGCACTGTCATTCTTTCTATTTTCTTTCCAAGTACATGAGAAGTCCATTCTTTTGGTATCATTGTAAGTAAAAATGTTTCAAGTATGTTTTATTTGTTTATTATGATGTGTTTATAATATATAAATAAATTTATTACTTACATTTAATCACCTAAGTGCAAATCAAAACTATGCAGATGTTACATAATTTCATAAAATTATTCCATAAAATCACATTTTTTCCAGAATGATGATCTCTTACAATTTTACTTCTTTATGATATATTTTAAACTGATGAAGTTTTATGGAATAATTTCTGACATCTTATTTCTTCCTATTTTTTTCATTTATATTTTCTATATGCTAATAAAAACTGTCTTCCAAAGAGGCTCTACTTAGGTTGGAGCCTGTTTGTCTTCTTTGTCTTTTTCATTTCATTCATTTCCACATCTATTCAATAGCCTGTTCTCTCCATCAGCCTCTTTAGAGGATTTTATATGTTGCCTCCTTTTTAGTTCTTCTGTCAAAACCTTTGTTTAGACCCTATTGGCAATCCCTAACCAGACTCCTTTTTTTTAGGAGCATTAAAATTTTTTCCTGTTCTTCATAGAAATTGAGTGGCAGTTGGGGGTATATTATCCCAATATTAAAATAGTATTTGCCCAGAACACATTGGAATACTTGAATCCTGCCCAAGATCAATCCCACCCATGCCTGCCGCACCCCTCACCCTGTGTTTGCTAGGTTCCTGTGGAAGATGCATGTATGAAATGACTAATGACAAATGGAAGGGTGTATTGCTTTTATTAGGTGGAGCTTTGAACTAAAACCTTAGTGCAGAGCTTTATAGTAGGTGGGGCTGGCCTATGGGGAAGCCTTCTTTCCTCTGAAAAAAATAGTCTCGTACCATTGCAGACTGGGAGGGCAGCTTAATTTCATCCCCTGAAGTCTAAACTTGAGTTAGATCTGACCACTGTTATGTGAGGCTAGGCTGACCCTATGCAAATCCCTAGTGCCAGGGGATGGAACTATGGAGAGGTATTGCTTTCAAACATGTATAATCTTCCTCAGGATTCCTACTCCAGAGAAAGGAGCTCGATCAGTGAGTGACCTATAATCTGACCATTCAGATTAGCTCGTGGGCCCTGAATTTCTGGAAGTTCATACTCTACAACTGTACCTAGATTATTCATAACAGTGCATGATTTTAATATAATTTTGATCAAATATTTTAAAGTTCCTCTTGACCTGGTTCCAGCTAAGCTATCATTAAACAAATATTTCACCCAATAAATATTTATTGAGGGCCTACTATTTGCTAGATACTGTTCTGTGCACCTGGGATATATCTGTGAACAAAACAGACAAAAATCCCTACTTTCTTAGCTTTCATTCTCAAGGACAGACACTAATAATTAAATAAAAATAAGAAATTAAATAATGTGTTAGCAGGTAATAAAAGTCATGAAGGATACATAAAAGAGGATAAGGGAAGTTGGGAGTACTGGAGCTGGGGGTACAGGAGTAAGTGCAGGTTGCAGTTTTAAACAAGGATGTCAAGGTAGGCCTTGTTGAGGAGATACTTGTGTGGACTGGAGGAGGTGAGGGTTAGCCAAGTAGATATCTGGGAGAATAACATTCTAGACAGCCGGTGCCAAGACCCTAAGAAGGGAGTATGCCTGATATGTTTAGGGAACAACAGAATGGCCAGTGTGGCCAGAGTGCAGTGGTCAATGTAGGAAGTAATAGGAGGTGAAGTTAAAGAGGTAACAGGCATGTAAATTATATAGGATCTTGTAGGCCATATTGGGAACTTTGGCTTTTATTCTGAAGGAAACGGGGAGCCATGGAAGGATTTTGAGGAAGACGCATGATCTGACTTGATGTGTTTTTTTTGTTTTGTTTTGTTTATTTATTTTTAATTTTTGGCTGCATTGGGTCTTTGTTGCTGCACACTGGCTCTCTCTCTCTAGTTGCAGCGAGCAGGGGCTACTCTTCGTTGTGGTGCATGGGCTTCTCATTGCGGTGGCTCCTCTTTGTTGCAGAGTACGGGCTCCAGGGTCTGCGGGCTTCAGTAGTTGTGTCACGTGGGCCCAGTAGTTGTGGCACGCGGGCTTAGTAGCTCCACAGCATGTGGGATCTTCCTGGACTAGGGATTGAAACCTGTGTCCCCCGCATTGGCAGGCGGATTCTGAACCACTGCACCACCAAGGAAGTCCCCTGACTTGATGTTTTAAAAGGATCACTTTGCTTATCAAATTATACATGTTAAATATGTACAGTTAATTGTATATCAGTTATACCTCAATAAAGCTGTTAAAAAATAAAATGATCATTCTGGTGGCAGGTCAAGAACAGATTGTACAGAGCAAGGGTAGAAAACACAGAGACCATTTAGAAGGCAATCACCATTATCCAGGTTGAGAGATGGTGGTGATTGGGACCAAGATCGTAATAGTGGAAGAGGTGAGAAGTGGTCAGTTGAGCCTGAAGGTTTCCTGATGATTTGGATGTAGCATGTGAGAGAAAGAGAAAAATCAAAGGTGTGTTCATGGTTTTTGGCTTGGAACAGGAAGGATGGAGTGGCCATTGACTGAAAAGGGGAAGACTGCAAGTGGAGCAGGATTACACTAGATGTGAACAAGGTGGGAGGTTCCCAAGTTTAGTGTTGGACATGTCTTTGGACATCAAGTGGAGGTGTTGAGTTAGTATTTAAATACAAGTCTGGGTTGGATATATGAGTGGAGTCCAGAGAGAGACTGAGCCAGAGACATAAAATTAGTAATTTCTCAGTAGAGATGACATTTAAAGTCATGAGACTAGATGAGATAACCAAGGAAGTGAGTATAGACAGAGAAGAATACCAGAGACTGAGTTCTGGACCACACAATATTGAGAGGTCTGGGAGAAGAGGCAAATGGGAATGGCCAACTAGGTAGGATGCAAACCACAAGAGTTGGTGTCCTGGAAGCTGAGTGAAGAAGGAATTTTAAGGATACAAGGTCCCCTGTCTTACACCACTCACAAAAATTAACTTGAAATGGCTTAGACTTAAGTGTAAGGCCTGAAACTGTAAAACTTGTAGAAGAAAACATAAGGGAGAAGCTCCTTGACATTGTTCTTGGCAATGATTTTTTGGATATGACACCAAAAGCAGAAGGAACAAAAGCAAAAATAAATAATTGGGACAGCATCACACTAAAAAGTTTCGGCACAGCAAAAGAAATATCAAAATGAAAAGGCAACCTGTGGAATGGCAGAAAATATTTGTAAATCATGTATCTGATAAAGGATTAATTATCCAAAATATATAATGAACTTATACAACTCAGTAGTAGAAAAAACAAATAATCTAAAGGACCTGAATAGATATTTTTCTAAAGAAGACATACAGATGGCCAACAGGTACATGAGAAGGTGTTCAACATCACTAATCATCAGGGAAATGCAAATCAAAACCACAGTGAGATATCACCTCACACCTGTTAGAATGGCTCTTATCAGAAAGACAAGAGGGACTTCCCTGGTGGTGCAGTGGTTAAGAATCCGCCTGCCAATGCAGAGGACATGGGTTCAAGCGCTGGTCTGGGAAGATCCCACATGCCACGGAGCAGCTAAGCCCGTGCACCACAACTACTGAGCCTGCACTCTAGAGCCTGCGAGCCACAACTGCTGAGCCCAAGTGCCACAGCTACTGAAGCCTGTGTGCCTAGACCCCATGCTCCGCAACAAGAGAAGCCACCGCAATGAGAAGCCCGCACACCGTGACGAAGAGTAGCCCCCGCTCGCCGCAACTAGAGAAAGCCCACACACAGCAACAAAGACCCAACGCAGCCAAAAATCAATCAGTCAATAAATTTATATAAAAAAAAGACAAGAGATAACAAATGCTGATGAGGATGTGGAGAAAAGAGAACCCTATGTACTACTGGTGGGAATGTAAATTGGTGCAGTCACTATGGAAAACAGTATGGAGGTTTTTCAGAAAATTAAAAATAGAGCTACCATATGACCCAGCAATATTTCTGAAGTAAATGAAATTACTGTCTTGAAGAGGCATCTTTACCCCCTAGTTCTTCGCAGCATTACTTGCAACAGCTGAGACATGGAAACATGGAAGTGCCTGTCAACAGATGAATAAATACAGAAAGTGGCGTATTACTCCCCCCTCCAACACACACAGAGGAATATTATTCAGCCATAGAAAAGGAAGGAAATCCTGGGGGCTTCCTTCCTGCAGTGGTTAAGACTCCACGTTTCCACTGCAGGGGGCACAGTTCCGATCCCTGGTTGGGGAACCAAGATCCCACTGCCATGCCGTGGCGTGGCCAAAGAAAAAAAATGGAAGAACATTTGCAACAACATGGATGAACCTTGAGGGCATTATGCTAAATGTAGTAAAGTCAGACAGACAAAGACAAATACTGTATGAGCTCACTTAAATGAGGAATGTTAAGACATAGAAGCATCGAAAGTAAACTCACAGAAACAGAGTAAGTTGGTGGTTGCCTGAGTTGGGGTGGGGGGGAAATGGGTGAAGGTGGTTAAAGAGTACAGACTTACAGTTATGAGACGAATAAGTTCTGGGGATCTAATGTACGGCATACACTGTAGCTGGCTGTAGTTAGCAAAAGTTAACAAATCCCCTACATACGAACCTTCAAGTTGCGAACTTTCAAGGATGGGAATGTGCGTTCCTTCAGTGTCACGTGTGAGTGAAATTGCAGCTTGCCCTCTGTCTCCTGTTGCTGACGATCCTTCAGCTCTACCATCTCCCACCTTTTCTCCCTCCTCCAGTCAGTAACTCTTCTTGCCTGTTCACTCGATGCCAGCCCCTGGATGCTGGCTTTGTACTGTACTACTGTACTTTTCAAGGTACTGTACTGCAAGATTAAAAATGTTTTATTTTTCTGTGTTTGTTTTTTCCATGTATTATTTGTGTGAAAAGTATTATAAACCTATTACAGTATGGTACTTTATAGCCGATTGTGTTAGTTGGGTACCTAGGCTAACTTTGTTGGACTTAACAAACAGATCGGACTACAAACGTGCTCTCACTATGGAACTTGTTCGTATGTAGGGGACTTACTGTATTGTATACTTGAAAGTTGCGAGGAGAGTAGATCTTAAAAGTTGTCACCACAGACACACACAAGGGCACACACACACACAAAAGGTAACTTTAAGTTGATGGATGTGTTAATGAACACATCATTTGTAATCATTTTGCAATATATACCTACATCATCACATTGTACACTTTGTTCACATTGTGCAATGTTATACGTCAGTTACATCTCAATAAAACGGGTAAAAAGGACATGATGTGATCAGTTGTATCAGATGCTGTTAATAGGTCAAATAAGATGAGGGTTAAGAATAGACTATTTGCCATAGTGAAATGGAAGTCACTGATGAAAAGTGACTTTTCTAAGTCACTTAGAAAAGGCTAGTGTTGGTAGAATGATGCAGGGAAGAGCCTGATTGGGGTGGGTTTAAGACATAATGAGAAGAGAAGAATTGAAGATAAGTATAGATGATTCTTTTAAAAATATATATATATATATTTAAGTATATATTATATGTATATATATAAAATGGTGAAATACACTATTAGTACATTCACAATGTTGTATAACCACCACCACTGTCTACTTACAGAATATTTTCATCACCCTAGAAGGAAAACCCCATACCCAGTAAGCAGTCATTCCCCATTCTCCCCTTCCCCTAATCCTCGTAAGCACTAATCTACTTTGTCTCTGTGGATTTGCCTGTCTTGGCTATTTCATATAAATGGAATCATAAAATATGTGGCCTTTTGTTTCTGACCTGTTTCACTTAGCATAATATTTTCAAAGTTTCATCCATGTTGTACCATGTATTGGTACTTCATTTTTATGCCTGAATAATATTGCATCATATGGATATACTACATTTTGTTTGTCCATGCATCAGTTGATGGACATTTTGAGTTGTTTTCACCTTTGGCTATTGGGAATAGTGCCACTATGAACATTCATGTATAAGTTTTTGTTTGAACACTTGTTTTCAGTTCTCTTGGGTCTCCAGGAGTGGAATTTCTGGGTCATATAATAATTCTGTAAACTTACTGTGGAACCACCAAACTAATTTCCACAGTAGCTATACAATTTTACATTGTCACCAGTAATTATAAGTGTTCCAATTTCTCTACATGCTTGTCAGCACTTGTTATTGTCTGTTATTGTTTTTGCCATCCTAGTAGGTATGAAGTGGTATCTCATTCTGGTTCTCATTTGCGTTTCTCTAAAGACTAATGATGTTGAGCATCTTTTTATGTCCTTGTTGGCAATATGTATATCTTCTTCAGAGAAATACCTACTACTTAAATCCTTTGTCCAATTTTTAAGTGGTTGCTTCTCTTTCTTGTTGAGTTTTAGAAGTTCTTTATATATTCTGGGTATTAAACCTTTATCAGATATATGATTAACAAATACTTTCTTCCATTCTTCAGATTTTCTTGATAGTGTTCTTTGGATTTTCTTGATAGTGTTCTTTGATGCACAGAATTTTTAATTTGATGAAATCCAATTTATCTATTCTTTCTTTTGTTGTTTGTGCTTTTGATGTTGTATCTAACAAACCATTGCCAAATCCAAGGTAATATTTACCCTCATATTTCTTCTAAGAACTTATGGATTTAGCTCTTATATTTAGGTCTCTGATCCATTTTGAGTGCATTTTTGTATATGGTGTGAGATAGGTAGGCAGTTCTTTAGATTAGTTTTGCCAAAAAGGAGAGCAGAGAAATTAAGCAATAACTGGTAGAGAAAGTGGGGTCAAAGAGGTTTGTTATTTGTTTTCAGATAGGAGAGATAATGGCATGGGAATGGTCAGTAAGAGGGAACATTGATGATACAGGAGAGGTAAGAGTTGCTGGAGCAGTGTCCTTCAGAGACAGAGGTGGAGTAGGATCTAGAGCACAAATGGAAGGATTGGCTGTAGACAGTTGCATGAATCGTTCATCTTAATAAAAAGAGGGAACACACTGTATCAGTACAGATGCTGGGAAGAGAGTAGATCTGATGATGACATCTGTGAAAGTTCTCTTTTAATTGCTTTAGTTTTCTTATTGAAATGGAAGGCAAAGTCATTAGGAAAGAGTGGGTTAGAGCTGTTGGGAATATGAGAAGAGAGGAGAAGGTGGAATTATCTTTGTAAGGAGACACAGAGTATTGAACAGACTAGGGAAATATATACTAACTGCTGGACACTTGAATATAATGATCACGTATTTAAAGTGAGAATAGTTAGTGTGGGTAAATGTTTTCCTCCAGAGCAGTTGCTCAGTAAGGCCAGAGTAAGTGCAGGTGGAGAGTTGGGTATTTCCAGGTTTATGGTTTTGTCTAGTGAGGATAACTCACTTGCTTGGGATTTGAGATTGAATACATGGGAGTGATTATAATGATTGATCTTAGAATTTAACCTGGGTAAGAAGGGAAAAGGCCATTAAAATAGTGAGGCAAAGTGAAAATGTGCTAGGAACAATGGATCGAAGGTCTTGGGGGAGATTGTTGGAGTACTGAAAAGGTAGGAGAGAGTAGTCAGAATGCAACTGATGAGTTGTGATTATGGAGGGCTTACAGTCTAGCATATGACCCTAAGTGTAGGACTGAAGATGAGATCACTAGAAGAGAAGAGTTCCAGCAAATGAGAGGTCTGGGTGTTGGAAGATCATCTATGTGTATGTTAAAATTGCCAAGAATTGAGATGAGTAGGGTTGTAGACAGTGACTGTGTAAGAAGTTGAAATTATTGAGTAATGAGTGAAGTGATCCTTGAGGCTGGTGGATGATAACAAAGATGAGGAATAATAGGGGATATACAGCCAGATGACAGGAGATTCAAAGCTGGAAATTGTTAAGGTGGGGAGAGGGAGAGTAGTGTGGAAGTACTGATGAAGAGCAAAGAGGTTATGTCCCTTCTCAGGGCCTTTAAATTGTTTGAAGGCTGTGGAAACAACAACAAAACAGGCACAATTGACAGGGCAGAGGGGCAGCATTTTCCTTAGCGGGAGAGAACCAGGATTTGTTTTGAACAAGGTGATGAAAGGAAGGGTTCAGAGAGGAGGTTGAGGTTGTAGGCGATTTTGTAGCTTGATTATAAATATTAAGTACCTAGAAGTTAAGGGCTGAGTTACATTCATCACTGCATTCCTTTCAGAGCAGTGCTTTTACATACATTTTCAATAAATGCTTATGTTCAGTAAATGAATACCGAATGATGAAGTGGGAAAGAATTAAGACCTAGAAAGAGAAAATAATGTTTATTGAACACCTACTGTGTGCTTGTAATTAACAAAAATACATTCCAATTATAAAAGCATAAAGCAATGAAATTGAAAGTCCTCTAGTATTTTATTTTAGTGCAGTAGTTTTCAATCAGTTTATAAACCTAGGCCTCCCATCTCATATTCTAGCTGACATGAGGAAGAGTCATCCTTCTAAGAAGAATACTTAAACCTTTTAAAATAAGGAGACCAATAATAATAACAACAAAAATAATTATTCAACAACTACCACCATTAGTAAAAAGTTATTTTATTTTTGTTTTACTAAAAAATAAACACTAGATAATACTCACAGAAGAGTTCTTTCAACTACTTAATAATCCAAGGTATTGTTATTTCCATTTACACATAAGAAAAAGGTTAAATTAATCATTTGTTCAAAGACAAACAGTAAGTAAGTGGCAGGGATGGGACTAGGTAGGACTTAAGTCTTCTGACTAGACCCTTCTTTTGGAGCATTGCCACAGTTGAATCCAGAAGGTAATGCAACCAGGCAGGGGTCGTGCTAAGGTCACAGAGCTTGGACCTATGACCCTACACAGCTTTCTGATAAAGCCAGTGGTTCCATCTGCTGGTGTTACGCTTCCTCTTCCTATACTATTGCTCTTTTCATGTAGCCTCTTCCTACTCATTTTGTCCTTTTTTCTTTTATTCTACCATCATCAACCCTTTATAATTCTTCCTTGCCTCTGTTGCCCTCTCTGCAGTGGCAGATGATGATCCTGTCTTTTAGTTTTTAACTTAGCTGAGCATTATGTCATATGGAAGATCATAAAAAAGAAGTTTGAAAACCACTGTACCAAGTAGGATATTCATGTTTACCAAGTAGGATGAAATATGTGAAAAAGCTCTTTTTCTCTGAATGTTCAGTTCTGTTTGATCCTTTCTTTAAGCTACTGTTTGTATGATAGGGAAAAAGTGTTTCATTAATGGATACTGGAAGAAGCAGTTTTCCAGTTATTATGAGGAGTTGACACCTTCTCTGTGTCTAGATTCATTTAGTTTGGATTGATAGTTATAAAAAAATGAATCAGTGGTCCCTATGGAGTATTTTGTGTGTGTGCGTGTGTTTTTCTTAACTACCTCAAAAATCAGACAGGTAAAATGTATTCATATTTTTACATGTAAGCATTGAAATTATATTCTCTAAGATTAACATATTTTTCTTTGTCATTTTAGACCAGTCTGCTTAGTTTTAAGGGAAATTCCTTTTATGTCTACTTGGTTTTTACTTGTGTCAACATTTAGGTGAGTCAAACCAATTTCCAGTATAATATTTTCAGTATAGTACTTATAAACTCATTTAAAACTTTTTTACAAAGTGATTATGGTTTGAATTGACAATTCTCTTTTTTAACGTTTTTTCTGTTTTCCCATATAGTATGCTGCCTCTTCTATTGAAGGATGAACTCCTAATGCCCTCAGTTGTGACAGTGACGGCATTCTTCATAGCTTGTGCAACCTCCTTTTCAATATTTGAAAAGACTTCTGAAGAAGAACTGCAGTTGAAATCCTTTTCCATTTCTGTTAGGAAATATTTTCCATGTTTTACATTTCTTCCCAGAATTATACAACATTTGGTAAGTTGTTTAGTTTTTAAGGTACTATTTTTTAAAAGTTATTATAATATCTTTTTTCTTTTACAGCATTTTTGAGATATAATTCCCATAAAATCCACCCATTTAAAGCATGCAACTCAGTGTTTTAAGTATGTACACAGAGTTTTACAACCATCCTCCTAACCTAGTTTTAGATTATTTTCCATCACCCCAAAAAGAAACTCTGTGCCCTTTAGCAGTCATTCCCCATTCCACCCTCACCCCTAACCTCAGCCTTGGACAGCCACCCAATTACTTTCAGTCTCGATAGATTTGCCTATTTGGACATTTCATATAAATGGAATGCATTAGTCCCTTAGGGCTGATATAGCAAAATACCACATCAGGTAGCTTAAACAACAGAAATTTATTTTCTCACAATTCTGGAGGCTAGAAGTCCAAGATCAAGGTGACATCAGCATTGGTTTCTGGTGAGGCCTCTCTTCCTGATTTGTAGGTGACCTTGCTGTCTCCTCATGTGGCCTCTTCTGTGTGTGTGTGTGTGTGTGTGTGTGTGTGTGTGTGTGTGTGTGTGCGCGCGCGTGTAGAGAGAGAATTCTTTGGTGTCTTTTTCTCTTCTTATAAGGACATCAGTCCTACCAGATTAGGGCCCCAGCCTTAGGACTTCATTTAACCTTAATTTAATCTCATCTCTAAATGCAGTCACATTGGGGCTTAGGGCTTCAACATATGAATTTTGCGGGGACACAGTTCAGTCTATAACATGGAATCATACAAAATGTTGTCTTTGATGACTGGCTTCTTTCACTTAGCACATTTTTGATTTTCATCTGTGTGGTAGCATGTATCAATACTTCATTCCTTTTTATTGCCAGTTCCATTATATGGATATACCACATTTTGTTTATCTGTTCTTCAGTAGATGCTTGCTTCCACGTTTTGGCTGTTATAAATAATGCTGCCCTGAAGATTTGTGTATTAAGTTTACCAGTGCACATATGTTTTCATTTCCTTCAAGTATATACCTAGGAGTGGTAATTCTGTGTTTAACATTTTGAGAAACTGCCTGTCTTCCAAAGTGCTGCATGATTCTACATTCCCCCCAGCAATATATGAAGATTCCAATTTCTCCGCATCCTTGACAGCACTGGTTATTGGCTTTTTTTTTAATTATACCCCTCCATTATTATAGCCATACAAAGTGGGTGTGAAATGGTATCTCATAGTGGTTTTTGCATTTCCCTAGTGACTAATGATGTTGAGTATCTTTTTGTAATTTCTTTGGAGAAATGCCTATTCAAATCCTTCTCCCTTTTTTTTTTTTTTTTTTTTTTTTGGCTACACTGCACGGCTTGTGGCATCTTACCTCCCCAACCAGGGATTGAACCCAGGCCCTTGGCAGTGAGAGCACGGAGTCCTAACCATTGGGCCACCAGGGAAGTCCCATCCTTTGTTCATTTTTAGTTGTCTTTTTTTTTTTGTGGAATTGTAAGAGTTCTCTATACATTCTTGATACAGGTCTCTTACTAAATTGCAAATATTGTCCCCCATTCTGTGGGTTGCTCTTTGACTTTCTTGATGGTATTGTTTGTAGCACAAAAGTTTTCATTTTTAAGAAGTTTAATACATCTAGTTTTTCTTTTGTTGTTTGTGCTTTTGGTGTCATATCTCAGAATCTATATATAATCAAAGGTCATGAAGATTTACTCTTATCTTTTAAGAGTTTTATAATTTTAATTCTCTTTAGGACATTGATTCATTTTGAATTAATTTTTGTGTGTGGTATGAGGTAGGAGTCCAACTTTATTCAGTTGTTCCAGCACCAATGAATTGTGTTTGCACCCTTGTAGAAAATCAACAGATCCTAAACGTGAGGGTTTATTTCTGGACTCTCAATTCTATTTCACTGATCTATATTATCCTTATGCTGCTACCACACTGTCTTGATTACTGTGGTTTTATAGTTAGTTTTGGGATTGAAAATTGAGTCCTCTAACTTTGTTATTCATTTTCAAGATTGTTTTAGCTATTCTGTGTCCCTTGTATTTCCATATTCTTTTTAGGATCAGCTCATCAATTTCTCTGAAAACCCAGCTGAGATTTTGATAGGGGTTGCTTTGAATATGTATATAAATTTGTGGAGTATTGCCATCTTAGCAAGACTTAGTCTTCCAAACCTATGAAACATAGGATGTATTTCCATTTATTTATTCTTTAATTTCCTTCAACAATGTTCTGTAGTTTTCAATGTACAGGTCTCACACTTCTTTTGTTAAATTCATTTCTAAGTATTTTATTCTTTACGATGCTTTTGTAAGTGGAATTGTTTTCTTAATTTTGTTTTCATAATGTTCATTGCTACTGCATAAAAATACAATTGATTTTTTTATTCTGAACTTGTATTCTGTACTGTTTTTAGTGAATTCCTTATGATTTTCTATATACAGGATCATGTCATCTGTAAATCATGATAGTTTTATGTCTTCCCTTTAAAACTGGATGCCTTTTCTTTCTTTTCCTTGCCTAATCACCTGGCTAGACAGCTCCAGTACAGTGTTGAACACAACTGGCAAGAGTGGATATCTTCGTTTCTTCAGATTTTAGGGGAAATCATCCAGTCTTTCAACATTAACTATGATGTAGTTGTGGGATTTTTATAGATGGCCTTTATTTGGTTAGGGAGTTCTCTTCTGTTCCTAGTTTGAATGTTTTTTCATGAAAAGGTGTTGGATTTTGTCAAATGCTTTTCCTGTGTCTAACGATATTATGTGTTTTTTTCCTTTATTCTATCAATATGGTGTATTACATTGATTGATTTTTGTATATTGAACTAACCTTGCATTCTTGGGATAAGTTCCACTTGATCATGGTATATAACCTTACTTATATGCCACTTGCTCAGGTTTGCTAGTATTTTGTAGAAGACTTTTGCATCTTATATTCATAGGGGATATTGGTCTGTAGTTTTCTTTTTGTGATGTCTTCGTATGGTTTTGTAATCAGGCTTAATACTTGCCTCATGGAATGAGTTAGGAAGTGTTCCTTTTCTACTTTTTGGAAGAGTTTATGAAGGACTGGTATTAGTTCTTCTAGAAACATTTGGTATAATTTACCAGCGAAGCCATCCGCCTGTTCCTGGACCTTTCTTCCTGGGATCTTAAAGATGACTAATTCAGGAGGGAGGGATAAAATAGGAGTATGGCATTAACAGATACAAACTACCACACATAAAATAGATAAGCGACAAGGATTTACTGTATAGCACAGGGAGCTATATTCAATATCTTGTAATAACCGATAATGGAAAAGAATCTGAAAAATATATATATAACTGAATCTCTTTGCTGTACGCCTGAAACTAACAATATTGTAAATCAACTGTACTTCAATTAAAAAATGATTCATTCAATCTCGTTATAGGTCTATTCAGACTTTCTGTATTTCTTGACACAATTTCAGTGGTGTGTCTAAGAATTTGTCCATTTCATCTTTGTTATCTAATTTGTTGGCATACAGTTGTTCATAATATTCCCTTATAATCCTATTTATTTTTATGTATGGTAAGGAGTGATGTTCCTTTTTCATTCCTGACTTGGGAAATTTGTACCTTCTCTCTTGGCCTTGGTCAGTCTAGCTAAATTTTGATAGTTTCATTGATATTTTTGCAGAACCAACTTTTGGTCATTGATTTTCTCTCGTTTTTGTTTTCTATGTCACTGATTTTATATACCCTTTTTATATACCCTTTTTTATATACCCTTTTTCATGCTTGGGTTTGGTTTACTCTTTTTAAAAAAAATATTTATTTATGTATTTGCCTGCACTGGGTCTTAGCTGTGGCACGTGGGATCTTTGTTGTGGTGTGTGGGGTATGTGGGATCTTTAGTTGCGGCATGCAGAATCTTTAGTTGCAGCATGTGGACTCTTAGTTGTGGCACGTGGGATCTAGTTCCCTGACCAGGGATCGAACCTGGGTCCCCTGCATTGGGAGTGCGGAGTCTCAACTGGTGGACCACCAGGGAAGTCCCTGGTTTACTCTTTTTTATCTAGTTTCTTAAAGTTCAGGTGGTTGATTTTAGACCTTTCTTCCATTTTTATATAGTCATTCAAACACATATATAACCCCTGTGCCATTCTTAAGCAGTATTCCATAAACTTTGAAATATGTTTTTAATTTAGTTAAAAATATAGTCCATTTCTTCTGATTTTCTTCTTTGGCTCATGAATTATTTAGGCATTTGTTGTTCAGTTTCCAAATATTTGGGAATTTCCTTGACTACTTCATGTTTTTCTATTCTAATTTAATTCTAATGTATTTAGAGAACATACTTTGTATTATTTCAGTATTTTCAAATGTATTGACTTTGTTAATTTCCCCTTCAGTTTTGAAGGGTATTTTTGCTATTTCTTTCAGCAATTTGAATATCATCCATCCTATTGCCTTGTGGCATCCATATTTTTCTGATAAGTCAATTGTTAATCTTATTGAGGATAGTCTATATATATATATATATATATATATACACACACACACTTACTTCTTTTAGGTGCTTATTAGATACCCAAGTGGAGATTTTAAGGAGAACTTGGCTATATGAGTCTGGAGTTTAGGGGAGAGGTCCAGGCTGGAGACAGTAATTTGAGTCTTCAGTATATAGACAGTGACTAAAGTCACTGTGACTAAAGTCATCAATGGATGAGCTCACCAAAGGTATGATTATAGATTGAGAAGGAACCAGCGAAGTTGTCTGAGAAAGATTAACTAGTGAGGTGGGAGGAAACCAGGAGAGTATGATGTCATGGAAGCCAAAGGAAGGGTTTCAAGATGGCAGTGATGTATTATTTCAAATGCTGCTGAGAGATCAAATAAGGCAATAAGAATTGACGACTGGGTTGAAGTTTAGTGGAGGTCATCATGGATCTTTCATTGGAGTGATTGGAGTGAAAGCCTAGTTGGTGCAGGTTCACTAATGAAAGGGAGAATTGGACACAGCAAGTTATAGTTAACTCTTTTAGGAAACTTTTTTCCAAACAGGAGCAGACAAATGGGGTAATGGCTGGAGCTTGGCACTGATTCAGGATCATAGTATCATGACATTTCATTCAGTCCCATATTTCTTAAGTCTGAAACTTTTGATTTGATGATTTCACTTCAGAAATTTTCATTCCTCACTAAGATTGACTCATATTTTCCCTTTGGAGGATATTTGCAGCCTATTTATACCTGTTTGTAAGCCTTTTTGGCTTCCATCCTTCCCATTCTTCCATCTGGAATGATCACTGCATTACTCTCTTTACAGGTCTTACCAATTCTGTCATAATCTAGCCATTAAAGTATCTTTCAGGGTTCCATTTATGTCCCACTTCCTTCATGGAAGTCACTACTGTTTCTCACTGCTTGTTTTCTACATTTACTTAAGCAGCTTCCATGTCCTTGTCTGGCTGGTCCTTGTCTCACAGTCTACAGCTATATCGTCCAATATGGTAGACACTAGACACACGTGGATTTAAGCTTAGTAAAATTAAAAATTCAGCTCCTCAGTTACAGCAGGCGTATTTCAAATGCTCAGTAGCCGTTATGTGGTTAGCAGCTACTCTTTGGAGTACACAGATATAGAACATTTCCATCACTGTAGGAAGTTCTATGGTGTGGTGCACTGGTCTGGAGAAGGAAACTGACTGCTGCACAATTACAATAAATGCAGTAATTATGTCTACTGCTCATCTTGGCATTTAATAAACTGTGACTCTGTGATTTTATTTCATTCATTCCCCTAAATTGGAAGCTCGTCGAGGCCAGAGGACATTTTCTTTCACGTGCCCCACCATGCTTTACTACAGCAGTGGCTCACTGAATGTGTTCAGTGAATATGAAATGTAATTTTGCATTTTCTGTAGAACAATTTTTCATAGATGAATTCTTAGATTAACTTAGAATTTTATATCCTGTAGGGCCCTGGAGCATGCCATGAATTTAACCCTGACTAGCAATATTGTCTATTTCAGATACCGTTTTTCAGTGCTTGGGTGATAAGAAGTATTAGATAGGGGTTCTCAGGCTTTGGCTACACATGGGAATCACTTGGAGAGCCTACCCCAGAAACTCTGATTTAATTGGTCTGGGATGTGGTCTGAGGATTGGGATTTTTTTAAAACCACCAGATGACTCTTCCATACAGCCGAAGTTGAGATTCATTAGTAGAAGAGACTGAACCCCCAGCTCTCCCCTTCAATTCTGCTCATTTACAACTATAAATCAATGTTACCAGTACATTTAATTGTTATCTTTTATCCTATACAGTAACATTTTTTTTTTCCCTCCTTATAGTTTCTTATCTCAGTAATCACTATGGTCCTTCTGACACTGATGACTATCACACTGGATCCTCCTCAGAAACTACCGGACTTGTTTTCTGTATTGGTGTGTTTTGTATCCTGCTTAAACTTCCTGTTCTTCTTGGTATACTTCAACATTATAATCATGTGGGATTCCAAAAACGGAAGAAATCAGAAGAAAATCAACTAGCTATATGCCCAAAGAAATGTGAAAATGTTAATAGTGCTACAAGCTTTTGTGACATTTTTGCCGTGTATAAAAAGAAATGATCATTTTGAGAATCATGGAATTAATTATAGGAAAGGAGATGGTGAAAAGTCATTGTTGTCTACACAAAATAAATGTATATGGGGACCAAAGCAATGGAGGCTTTTATTTTCTAACTACTGGGTGGCCAAGAAATATTGTAGTTTTATTAAATTCAGTTATTATTCAAATGGGAAAATAAGAAAAACATGTCCTTAATCTCAGTGTTTACTTAGGAAATGTACTCTGTAATTTGTTGTCTTGAAAAAAATCTGCAAATACAGTGAGCTTAATGGGAGAATTTAGCCCCTTATTTTTTTTTTTTTTTTTTTTTGCAGTACGCGGGCCTCTCACTGTCGCGGCCTCTCCCGCGGCGGAGCACAGGCTCCGGACGCGCAGGCCCAGCGGCCACGGCCCACAGGCCCAGCCGCCCCGCGTTAGCCCCTTATTTTTGAAGGAAATCACTAATTTTGGTATTCAGATTTAGTTTTCCTTACATTTTAGAATGCTTTAGAAATTATATCTCAGGGATTAAATTTGTGATAATCTTTTATATTACTATGAGAAGGTAATTTAAACTATTTAAAGTTTGAACATGCCTCATTACATGTGCAAATTTGAATTTTTTTAGCAAGGCAGAGATTAAACTGTGCTCTTATTTATTTCCAAGAACTCTGATTTACCTGAATGCAATTAAACAATGAATTTTCCTAAATTTAAATCTAAGTGGTTTGAATGAAGTCTTTTTAATTACTTAGGATCATTAGTTCTAAACTTTCAGGATCATTCTGTTTAAGTTAAGTGGCCTTATACTGGGTTCATCCTTCTGTTTTTCTTTGTTATGACATGGTTCAAGGTCACCAATGCCATATGCATTGATCCATATCATGCTTCATGTTAACTTAGCCCTGTTAATAACTATATCACTATATTAGAAGAAGCCCATCTTTACTATAGTATTCAGTTGGTAAAAATAATTTATTGTAGCCATGTTGTAGATTCTCATGTAAAGATATGTTTTCTTTAGTCTCTGTAATAAAAATAACCATTTCCCCATCAACCTATGTTTTTAATGAATATATTTCTTTAATAAGCCATTAAAGCATAATAACTAAGTGGTGGTATATTTTAAAACAATGCAAGCCAAACATATACACAAAGAAAATTTGGTTCTAGACACGGACACCTACAGGCTGATGCAACAAGGTATATGTTTTTAAGTCTGATAAAGGAAGTGGGTTTAGACAAAGCAAAAAATCAAGAAGTATTTCCTTCTCAAAGCAAATGTGCATAAAGACTCAAAGGGCAGGTCAGCACAGAAAAGCAGCCTTGAATCGCTGCCGAATCAGCAGGA